AATTTAAAGGCATTTCATATAAAGCTATTAAATTTTTATTGCCTTTTTGCACAACCTATTTGTGTAAGCAAGGATTTTCTTTCATGTCATATTTAAAAAATAAATACAGAACAAAATTAAAAGTGGATCTTAATTTACGGCTAAAGCTAAGTGAAATAAGACCAGACATAAAGAAATTGATCTCTCTTAAACAGGCCCGAATTTCGCAGTAAATTTTAGAATTAAAGTATTATAACTTAAATTAAAATCTTAAAAATAATTAAAGTGGTAACCAATTTTTAAATCTAATATTTTTTATGAATGCATCTTTAATGCAAATAGCCAATAGGCTGTGAAAATGGCAAAATATATATTTTTTTAAATATTTCTATTGAGAAATTTGAAAAATAATCATTGGAAAATATTGGTGGTACTAATGATTTTCAATTTTCGTTTAGATGGTACGCATTAGTTGAAAGGCTGAGAACCGCTGCTCTAAGCTATTACTACATTCGGACGTATTTCAGGCCCTTGATAGCTTCGCCATTTAGTTAACATTTAGGGGCCAACTCCTATAGAATTTCGATAGCTTCGACTATATCTTTTTAGTCAAGTTTTATTTCTTAGTATTCTTGAGTTCAAGCCCAAGTAGAGGCTTTTCTGTACGTCCTGACAAAAGGCCATCTGTAAAACTTTATCTTGAACAATAAAGGGTAATTAACCCTTTCAAAGTTTACGTGTGTCGCCTGAACTAAAGCGATTATTCGTTTACTAGTTCTCAAGGTTCTGCACACGTAGCTGTATATTCTAGGTTGGAACCTTATAAGGTTACACTCCAATTTGAAAAATACGTGTACTTTCTGATCATACTGAATGTTCTAAATGGTGTGTAAAGTAAATGTTCAAACACTAATCTTCACCATCCATACATTTATGAGTACGAGTCACGACTAATTCTGTACTTTGCACCAAAGTGTTCAATAAGATTTCTGTGCACATCGCTTAAATCTCATCCCAACGTGTGTCAAGGTTACGTGGTTTACGACACTAGGCCTCATTTTTTACTGTGCCACATAAAAAAATTGAACGGCGTTCGAGTTCAATTTTATGAATGGGTTTAGGAGATGGTTACATGTGAACGGAATTTATGGATAACATTGTTTCGTCGGATGAAGCGCAATTTAAACTTAAAGGGATTGTCAATAGGCATAATTATGTGTACTGGATTGAAGATAATCCTCACATTATGTTAAAAATGCAGTGCATTTACCTGGTGCAAAAGTATAGTGTGATTTCTCCTACGGTAATCAATGGCGAACCTTTCCGTTTTGAAGGTTATGTAATTGAAACGAAGTACCTAACAATGCTTGCTAATTCCATTTTTCCTGATATTCTGTAAAGTACGGTAAAGCCATGTTTTATTACCAACAAAATGGCGTCTCTTCGCACTATCGTAGGAATGTGCGAGAATACCTGGATCAAAATGTACCAGGCCAGTGGATAAGACGCAAGGGACCAATCAAGTTTTCTGCGCGCTCTCCAGACCTTACGCTGCTCGATTATTTTATGCGGCATAGTCAAAGATAAAGTGTACCATACACTGACTACCAATAAGTATTTGGACTCCTATGCAAATGACGATATCTGCGGTCCTAAGGTACGTCACGGACTACGCCGGTGTATATCGTGTAGGAAACAGCATCGGCTTTAGTCGCATGCAAGATGCCTCGCAGTTCGGAGCTCTCTGATTTCGAGAAAGGTATAATTATCGGGTATCACAAATGTGGCCGATCCTTAAAGGAATATCTAGCCATCTGAAGTACCCAAAATCGACAGTGGCCTATGTGATTAAGAAGTGGAAGGTGAGCGGTGATTGTCGGAATGTGCCCCAAGTCGGCAGACCAACGAAACTGTTAGATAGAGACCGACGAGTGCTGTCCAGAGAAATTCGAAAGAACTTCACCCAACCGATGGCCCTCATCCGCGAGGTGTATTAACAGGCATCCGAGAGTATTGCTTCAATGAATACCATCCGAAAGGAAGCACATCTGCTTGGTTTTCATTGTCGTGCTGCTGCCCATAAGCCTTTGATCACAAAGTCCAATCGCGCTGCTCGGTTAATGTGGTGCAAAGGACATCGAAATTGGACTGTAGATCAGTGGAAACGGGTTCTTTGGAGTGACGAATCAAGGTTCACCCTTTACCGTTCGGATGTCAGGGTCTGGGTCTGGCGTCTACCTGGAGAACGTCTCCTGTCAAAATGCATTGTGCCAACAATCAAGTTCGGCGGAGGTGGAATTATGGTCTGGAGGTGTTTCTCCTGGTATGGGCTGGGACCCTTGGTCTCCATTCATGGTAAGCTCAACTCCGATGCCTACTGCACTATTTTGGATGACAATGCGCTTCCTACGTTGTGGCAGTTTTACGGGTTGGACCCCTGTTACTTTCAGGGCGATAATGCCAGTTGTCATGTTTCGACGTTAACCAAGTCTTGGCATGGTGCCAATGGAGTTGATCGAATAGACTGGCCTGCCCAGAGTCCAGACCTGAACCCTATGGAGAACATTCTGGGACGATTTGCATCGCCGAATTCAGGGGTGCACTACCCGTGAAAAATCGGTGAAGGAACTTCTATGTCTTCTCCAAGCCGAGTGGAAGAAAATACCACTAGCTGTCTTACAAAGACTTATGGAAAGTATGCCCCGGAGGGTCCACGCTGTAATTACCTCTCGTGGAGGCTCTACCAACTATTGATTTTGAATAAAGTTAGTTTTTCTTTTCTATCACAGGTGTCCAAATACTTATTCGTAGTCAGTGTAGTAGACCACTTAACCATGACACACTTTGGGATGAGATTCAAGTGACAAAAATTCCATTGGACACTTTGGTGTGAAGTATGGCATCAGTCGTGACTCGTACTCAGAAATGTAATGATGCTGAAGATCACCATTTTGAAAATTTATTTAAACACCATTTGAAACATTCAGTTTGGCCAGAGAGTATATTTACTTTTCATATTGGACTTTAGCTCTACTTTTCCCAGAAATTTAACCTTGTCGGTTGGAAACTAAATTTTCTATGACAGTTCAAACTGTGTATAGATGTTTTGACGCACCTTAGTATATTATTTTATGTATGATGTGTTAATTATTCTAATTTCTACCGTTGAGTTATACAATTTATTAAATAAATATATTTGTTGGTGGCCCCAGAGGATCTTCCAAATTGAGGCCGTGTCTTAGAATGGTGTTTAAGGATTAAAATATGTAAGTATGGTTAGGCAGGATTAATTATCAGCCTTACCAGAAGATATTTTTCAGATAGATTTCGGAATCAAGTTTTCAGGAAACTTCTTCGCACAATTACAGAAAAACTATTGCAGAAATACTATTAGCAAATTTAGTACTGTAAAATTATACTATGGTTATAAATTGATTTCATTCTGTGATCTTGAGGAACGTTATATATTTCACACAATACATCTTATAAGTTTTAATTCTTGGAGGTACACAAAAGGAAATGTGAATGTATAAGGCATTTCTCCCAACTTCTTGGCATGCCTTCGTGGTGTGGTGGTGTGCACGCTGGGCGCGTAATAGAGGTCCGCGGTTCGATTCCCGGCGAGGCTTTGCTAACTTTTCATCTCTCCTGCTTCCAAAATACCCAATGTCTCTACAGTGGCGCCCGAACTAAGAGGCTGGGGGATGATGATTATCCACACCAAGGATTTGGCGACTGGGTCCCCTAAAAACCCCAGTCGCCCTTTAAAAGGGGGATTATATAAGGTGTTTCTCCCACGTACTTGGCATGCCTTCGTGGTGTGGTGGTCTACACGCTGGGCGCGTATTCCAGAGGTCCGTGGTTTGATTCCCGGTGAAGGCGTTGCTAATTTTTCATCTCTCTTGCTTCCAAAATACCTAATGTCTCTAAAAATGAAGAATAAAAACAAACAAAAACTTTATCGCGTAACGTTTAGAAATACCTGCTAACTGCTAATACTTTTAATCTGATTTCCAAAGCTTACATAAGATTCTAGATATTACTTTCGATTAGACGCCAAAGCAAGATACGGGATTTTACATGATTTTTACATTTACTTTGCAGCATTATGCAGTTTATTTAATGCACCTCTAACAGTTGGTTTTCATTATTTTATTATGCTATGAAAAATTTTTCGACTTGTGAAGTGTACTCTCCCATTTAAAAGGCGACTAGAGATTAGGGGACCCAGTGGTCAAATCCTGGTGCTGAATTATTGTCTACCGTCTTTTAGTTCGGACGACACTTGTAGAATCATTTAGAATGTTTTTTTCGATGTCAGGAAACTGAAAATGTCCCCAACTGCCCTTCCAGTTACACAATGAATGCATGCAGAAAGCGAGGAGAAAATACTTTATACGGTAACTGTTAAGAATGGGAGGGCAGCTGCATCAAGAAACCAGCGAAACAGCGATAGCTTACTAAGAAAGAATTGATCAAAGAAGAAAAGTAGATTTACATTACTGTCACAGAATGTTGAAGAAAAACTGAATAGAAATTAATACAGAAGCAAATAATGTTTGAAATCCTAAAAGGATTTCGACAATTCTTCTCTTCTTCTGAAGTATAATTGCAAGACTGGAGGAGAAAGTAAAGGAAAATCATTAAATAATATGAAAAATATATATATAAAGTTTAATGAATGATAGATTTTTCTAGTGATTTTATTTGGAGTCAAGTTACTTTACTCTGCATAAATTGATGAACTTCCACATATGTATAGATTATATCATTGTGATTATGATTATAAATAAATTTCTTTTAGTAAAAAAAAAAAAAGGAATTTTTTCCTTATAATTTATCTTATTATTTTGACTTTTAAATGTATTTAAATGTGTATGCAGTCCATACGTTCTAAGATATAACCACAAGAAATAAAGCGGAAAATTAACATATGTGCACAAAGTCGCGCTCTGTGGCGGAGCACTGAGCTTAAGCAACATCGCTTGGCACACAAAGCAATGTCAAACAGAATATCTTACCTTTTCAGTGATTTCACACTTGTCATTTTTGCAGTCAGGGGGTGGTACAATGTCTTCCTCCAAAGCTACAAAGCCAGCGTCACCCAGATTATCTTTAGCTGATGTGCCACTCATGGAGTTCTGGCGACTGGGAAATAAGCTCACGCTTGTCAGAGAACTCTGGCGACTTAGGGGCGGATAAAGATGACCACTGTTTAAGGAATTGTGCCTACTACAAGTTGGGCGAGTTTCTGTGGAATCCCTTCGAACGGCTATGCTGCCTTCGATGGGAACAGAGTCTTGACTTCTTAAAGAATACTGCGGACTGATGTCCTTTTCAGTCAAATGGACTTCAGTGTCCTTTAAGATCACAGTGTTCCCCTCTTTCAGAAGTGGCACACCTCCATTGCAATGACGATGATTAAGGACATGTACCCTAAATGGAGAAATGATAGCAATCAGGATAGCTAAAATTCAAGATATATAAACCTTAGAACAAAAAGTTTGTATCACTTTATGTTTTTGTTTATGAGGCTACAACTTTTTACGCTGCAAGAATGTTATTGAACAATTAAAATGTAAATATATTGAAAAACAACAGTTAAAGAAAGACATTTATCTTATCTAAAGTGCACACAATGATCTTTAATACCTACCGAGTGGAATTTTTAGTTTCATTTAAGCTCTTTAAGGCGCCCGGACACTGAAGTTCTTCTTCGAAAATAGTATCTGCTTCTTCACAGTCTTTCAACTTTAATATTGAGTAATCTCCTTCTGTAAATTCTTCTCCATTTTCCTCCTCGCACGGCATCCGAGCGACTGCGTGCTGGAAATATGTTAAACAAGGCAAGATTAGATTTATCTTTGTTGAACAACCTCTTATTAAAATATAAAGTAAAACGTTTTGTTATCATGGTTAATATAACTAGTATTAAATTGTGTTTTCATGCAAAATACGCTATAGAACTGTCATTATGCATCAACTATTACGTTAAATCTCAAAAGGGACAATTCTAAATTATTAATTGTAAATCAAAAATAATTTTTAAAGTTTCATATCGTAAAATGTTAAACCACAGGCTCTGATATTTTCTATTCATTTTGGCACCATCACTCAATAAGCATCTATTCTTGAAAACATTGCATTTGTAACTAGTATTTCGGAACAGTTTATACGGCTGTAGTACATTACGGCAATTGTCAAATATTTGTATGCATACATATGTGACTTTGCACGATTAATTACAAGTATCTTTCAGAAATCTGAAATTGGAAGTTGACAGGAATCACGTAATAAAAGTACTTTTAAAACCAATTTTGGTGCCATATCTGATAAAGTTGCCTAATTTCGCCAAAGAGACTGATTACCTACAGATTTAATTTATATTTATGCATGATCTCACAAGCTCTCTCATAAAATTAGGCAATAAATAAGAAGGAATTAGGATATATTAGACTTTTAAATTATTTACAAACGACATTAAGATAAAAGTAATATCTATCAAAGAGATAAACCAATCACATTCTCTCATTTCATCAATCTTTGATCAAGTACCATTCCATACATCTTGAAAACGTATAATAAATCGCTTTTATTTGTAATAAAATACTATAATTAACGAAATTAGTAAAAACTGGTGGTTTTCATTTCGGATATCATATAGCTGTTGTTCAATATTATTTCTACCGTTATTATTTTGAAATTAAAGATGATCAGATTTCGAAATCTCTTGCATCCATCATTTAAGTATGAATCAAACCTAGGAGACTATATCTGAGCGCAAAATCTGTGTATAGTTTTAGTAAAATGAAACCTGACAAACTAATATTATGAAGGACAAACTGTTATTCGATTTACTGTAACAAATATTAACTGTTGCTAACAAAACATTCCCAGTGTATTTATTCAGGAGTTACTATGAAACATCTTCATAATTAAATTTCTTCATCGTGAAACTAATTTACACATTTTCCTGGAGAAGTTGTATAAATAAAAAAAAACTAGTTAGCAGCTTAAAGTAAAACTCAAATAATTATGTATGGAAGATTACTGCAGGTTTACTGTTATTTGTAAAGATCAATAAATCATATTTTTTTTTTAGTCATCGCACAATTTTTCAGACTATAATGGGACTGGAGTAATTTGGAGTTTTTCTATGTATTGAAGAGGCGCTCATAAGACCTAAAAAGCTCATTTTTAATTTGTATGAAAATTAAGTTCTCTTTGGAGACTAGATTTTAGAAAATGTACAATAGCTTTGTGGCAGGTTCTATACATTTACATATACAAGCTACATTTCAAATACAAAAAAAATCAGCTTATTTTTCTACTGTTTGGAATATTGGGAAAGAAATATCAGCAGATGAAATATATACACTTTTCTCCAAACGTTTTGCATGATGCTGAAAAAATAGGATACCAATAGTCAATCAGTTCATGCTATTCTCTCAAATGTAGCCATGTTTTTGTTTTATTATGTGAAAATGTATTGTTAAATTAATTTAGCTGCTAAATAGTTGTTATAGTTCGCACTTTTCCCATGGCGATAAAAGCGTTTATTTGCAGTTTAAGTAATGAATTTCACTTTGCGGCTTGAACATTCCCCTTTTCTCTTAGAGAAAGAAGAAATTCCTGTGTAGTCTTACATACATATTATAGGTATTTACATACATATTGTTACAGATACGCAAACAATAATAAGGCGAAACGCGTGCTATGGAGAAAGAACAAAAGATCATTGAACAAATATATTCAACAAATGTTTTCCATGTGACTGCTGTTATGTCATATCTTTCGCAATTATGAAACACATATGGGACTCACAACATATAAGAAAACCAAACTATAGTCATTAAATATGGTCATTGTATAGCAATGCATAAAGCGTTATGCATATAAATTAGATAATTATGTTACATTACAGGTCGCAGATATTTTAGAAGTAACTTTACGCCATCACGTTTTATGTGCTGTGGCAGAAAACGCTGTGAGGAATATAATGCCTAATATCTCCATGAGCATGTTTTGCATAGGAATGGATACATTACCTTCACGGCTAAATTAATGTCGAAAGCTTCTTCTCTGTTTGGTAAGGGGGATGTAGGAACTGTATAATTTGGCACATACATAAGTAAATCACTTCCAACGCTTGTTCTCTGACTACGGGACAGAGACTGGCTACTTGAGTCTTGGGTAGTCATCGCAGTCTGAAAGTAGAAAATGGAGTTATGTTTTTGCTCACCAAAATACGCAAGAAGAAAGAAGAACACATAAAATGAGTACTCTATTATATTCCAATTTCTAAACTCAGAGTAATTTGTTTTATTTAAAAATTTTTATAAATTCAAAAGCATTAGCAGAACTGAATCAATTAAAATTTCTTTTATTAATCGTCATCATAATAATATTAATTAAATAGTTTTGCGTTAAGTTTCCATAAATGCGCTTATTGTATAAAATGTTCATGGAAAAATATCAATTTTGGTGGTGTACACTGAAGTAAATTACAATGAAATTAATGGGTGTTATGAATCTGCGTCTGAAATGAATAGAAGCGATAGAAAAACAAGTAATCAAACAATTGTATTTTGTTATTTTTCGTGGTGGATATATTCATTTCAGAAAATGCTTTGAACCATAATGAGTCATGAATATTTTATGCAACGCATGAGATATGCAGAGTGTTTCAGAAAATCGGTTAGAAACTTTCAGGAGAGACAGAGTACACCTAAACGATTCAAAATCACATATTAATGCATGGTCAGAAATGCTTTCCTAGAGCGGAAATGACAACACAAAACGCAAAAATAGAAGGACACGAACAGGATAAGAAAACATGTTTATTATGCTTATTACAAGAGAAAGCAAGGAAAACGAACAAAACAGAAAACGATTATCATCAAAGAAAGTGTTCGAAATTACGGTCCCGGACCGTGATGCCGCTCTCACACATCCGGTGCAGGGAAGATTTGGTGTTCTAGAAAATATCGGGCGTGCCTTGGACTTCCCCAGCAGTGCCGCGATGCGTGCAACAAGTTCCTTAGCACTATTAATGGAGGTTTCGTATACCAGTGCTTTAACGTACTTCCCCAGAGGAAGTAGTCAATGTAAGGGAGGTCTGGGGATTTTACTGGCCAATTCACCGGACCACCCTGCAGATCCCACGTTGAAGATGCGTTTCGAAAGTAATTTTCGACACTTTCTTTGATAACGACTGTCTGTTTTTATTCTTATTTCTTGGTTTACGCTGCACTAAGCGTAATAAACATATATTCTCACCCTGTTCGTGTCCTTCCTTCGTTGTGTTTTGTGTCGTGATTTGCATTGCTATATGTTGTTCCATCGTCTAATTGCACTCTATCTCTCATGTAAAATTTTGTAACCGATTTGCTAAAACACCCTGTAGATGAGATATAGATGTAACTATTTCGTTTGCTCTGTAAGGATCCTAAGTTTTACTAAAGTTTATTTTATTTTAAATCTTTACTATCACTTCTTATTTTCTACTTCCGGCCAGGATTAAAAGCTTTAACCTATTTATGCAAATTTGTCTTGCTAACGCCAAGTACTAAGTTGTGGCTTTTTGCCAAGCAAGAGAGAGGAAGGAGTTATTAGAAGCAGGCCGCTTGCCATAGTAGTTTTTACTCGGTTGCTGGTTGCCTGCACTAAGCGTAATAAACATATATTCTCACCCTGTTCGTGTCCTTCCTTCGTTGTGTTTTGTGTCGTGATTTGCATTGCTATATGTTGTTCCATCGTCTAATTGCACTCTATCTCTCATGTAAAATTTTGTAACCGATTTGCTAAAACACCCTGTAGATGAGATATAGATGTAACTATTTCGTTTGCTCTGTAAGGATCCTAAGTTTTACTAAAGTTTATTTTATTTTAAATCTTTACTATCACTTCTTATTTTCTACTTCCGGCCAGGATTAAAAGCTTTAACCTATTTATGCAAATTTGTCTTGCTAACGCCAAGTACTTAAGTTGTGGCTTTTTGCCAAGCAAGAGAGAGGAAGGAGTTATTAGAAGCAGGCCGCTTGCCATAGTAGTTTTTACTCGGTTGCTGGTTGCCTTCAAGGCCAGAGGTTTAGTCCTCTTGATAATTTCAAACGTATCGTAGTTTTAGCAGCTCTCTGTACTACATACGGATTTTGTTAAATAACGGCCAATCTTGAAGTTAGGCACTTGTATATTAATCCAAAGTTAGTTTTAGTTAGAGTTTTAGTTAGTAGTTTTATATTCTTACGTTCAGACCACAAGTGGTTGGTCTCTGTATTCCGAAGTTCCGGAAATCTCTGTAAAGATAGAAAAAATAAAGGGTTTCGTATACTCTTCCTGTGTGTATTGTCTACTTCACAATTTATTGAACATAGCTTGAGTAAGCTCCCTGTTCCGAGTCAGGACAGTTCATGTTTCCAAAGCAAATAAAGAGGAGTAAACGTCCTGATAGCTCTGCTATCTCTTTATAAAGATACGTTTTAAATAAGCAAATTGTTACATGCAGCAAATACTGTTAAATTTCGGTGAACAAATTGCTCCCAGAAGGCAGTTTAGATGCCATTAGCATATTATACGTAGAAAATTCCTTACTCTGAATGAAATAACAGTGGTGAATTATAAGAAATTATTCATTTACAGATACAAACTGAAGTTACATAAATTTCATTATCTCAGTAGAACCAAGATATTATCCAATGAATAATTCTACAAGTAAAAAATGAATTAAATTAAAAATGCACAAACATACCTATACAGATAAATATAACATTGGCACCGGTCATATGTTTAACAATGGAGGTGAAATAAGACCCACATTCCCTTTTAAATTTACAAAAGTCTTTGAAAATATTTTGAAAAAAAAAAAAAAAAAAAAAAAACTTCCCAGAACCCTGTTTCTGAGGAGTAATAAGTTTTTAGTCAATTAAGTATTTATACTATCGGGTAATGAAACGCAATTGAAATTTTATAAATTAAATTTTTAGTAATAAATGATAGCTGTAGAAAAAGCGTATGCAGTTCATTGTGATAATAAACAGAGATCTAATAGATCTTTTTAACATAAATTGTTGCTAAATAAAGTTTTAACTCTCTCTGGCTATTAAAAAATTTCTGTGAACACTCCTTATTTAATTTTACTCTTGCATTCTCAGCTTAAAAAGTTATACTTGATCTGGATATGTTATTTTAGTCCTAACTGACGTAAAGCAGATTACCGCTCTTCCTGAGAATAATGTCAAAGTATAGAGAAGGTTAAAATAATTTTTTTATTTTAACATAATTTAGAAGATAAGTGCACGATCTTGCACTACCGTGACCACAGTTTGTGGGGATGCAAATAAATGGAGTTGTTCAATTTAAATCAAACATTGATACATCAAGGACTACACAATTAAAATACTACTAGAAGCTGGCTCACTCTTTCTGTCAGAGCGTTAGAATTAAGAGTCAGCAGCAAGAACACAAAGCCAGCTGTAAAGCAGTTGTAAACAATAATTACAACTGCTTTACAGCTGGCAGGTACGTAACCAAGCAGCAAGACTCTCTGTCTTGCTGCCAGAAACACTCTTTGTCTCAAATTGAAAACCCCCAGTTTAAACTAATTTGCATCCTGACTAGGAATAAGGAAAGGAGAAGTTATAGTAAAGAATGAAATTATAAATAACCAGCCATCTGGTAGAGAAAATAGTTAAGAAGCAAATATATAACATTTTATACGTTTCAACTTGTCATTTACAATGGCATCACCTTTTTAACTTTTAATTCCTTTCAAACTCAGTTTCTCCCCCCTGCTCCCAATCAGTATAAAGCAAGCAAATGCATGTGAAAAATTTTTCCACAACTAAATTCTAATCAAATTACTACATAATAATAACGTAGATATACTAGACCTCAACAACATTTTATTTCAAGACTTTACCTAACGTTATAAGCTTAATTTTCAAAAAATTTTATAGTTTTGGTTTGAGTGCTTAGCTTAAATTCACTACGCTAGCTTTTATAGCAGCATATATCTTATACTATAGGACACATGACATTTTCATCAATTTGTTGATTTTTAGTCAACATCTTGATGAAAATGCCTATAGTATATGACGTAAGCTTTTACATTACAAATATTTTAGGCCTTATTTAAACACAAAAAAGTTGACACTAAATTTAAGTTCGTTTTAATATAAAAAGCATAAAAAAGGTACAAAAAGTTTAAAATAATTATAAAACAAAAGATTCTTTAATTATTTTTTATACTAAAAAATAAAAAATCAAATGACACTAAAAATATCAAAATATTACATGTTTGTAAAGAATTTGGAACTCTAAAAATAGCGAAATATTATATATTTTGTAGAGAATACATGAAGGTAAATGCCCTTAAAAATTTAAGATATTAGTTAAATTTCATAACACCCTGCTAGGAGGGGCATAAATTAATCACAAGAATCTTAAGTGAAATTCCTAAACTTTTTCAAATCCTACAAATATTCTCCGTTTATCATTGTAGTTGAATATGTAATTTCGTTTATTAATTTTCTTGATTGCATTATCAGAAAGTTTTCCATGATGTTTTTTAAAAAATAATCTCTTTCTCCATCATTTACTTCGATTTTTATAATATATGTACCACTAAATTTAGTTTAAAATTTCTCAGTAAGATCCGATTATATCTCAGGCTCTATATCTTACAATTTTAGAGTTTTAGGATAATATATGTGACTACTGATTCCTTCCATTTATTGGTAAACTTTTTTTTTTGAAGACTTTTTACTCAGTCCATCTATAAAACCAGAATTCGGAGGGAATATTACTATATCTAATAAAATAATCTAAAATGTGATTATTATCCAATAAGTTACGTTCCCATCCTTCATAACCTTTAATATTTTCAAATTTAATTGTAAATAAAAACAAATATGCTATTTAAATTATTTATTTTATATTTTACTATACGATTTTTATAATTTACAGATTTTTCTAAATATTCAATATTATATTTTGTAAGTAAATTATCGATTATGATTGTTAGTTCCATTTATTAGTAAACATTTTTTTAAATTCCTACTATTAGCTCACACTCTCCCTAAATCTTGTTCAAATTTTCAGTCGTTAATAAAATACTTTTTATTCATCCGCTCAAGTTCAGATACATTTTTATAAACTTGCAATGGATGATACTTGATGTTAATACAGTTTTTTCACATATTAAAGT